GAAGGCTGGCGGTTCAAACCCACCAGCCACTCCTCGGAAGGAAGACTGGGCAATCTACTTCCGTAGTGATACTGCCTCAGAAACCCAAGGAGGGGGTTGCTATGAGTAGGGGCCAGACTCGAGGGCACAAAACAACAACAACAAAAAGGAACTAGGAAGGAAAAGCAAGGACCTCCCTCCAGAAGAAAACCTCCACAGAGAAAAGACTCCTACGGCCAGGGCTCTGAACTCAGATCTTTAGCCTCCTAAAGACTGGGCAATCTCCTTCCATAAAGATTTACCAACTGGGAAACCCAAAGGGGAAACTCACTGAGTTGGAATGGACTCGATGGCAGTGAGTTTGGGTTTTTTTGTTTGTTTTGTTTTGTTTAAAGCCGCTCTGGTGGTGAGGTGCCAAGGGCATTTGACTGCTAACCAGAATGATGGCGGTTCAAACCCACAAGCCACTCTGCAAAAGGAAGACCAGGCAATCTCTTTCCCTAAAGATTTACCACCTTGGAAACTCAGTGGCGGTTGCTACAGATGGCATCAACTCCATGGCAGTGGGTGGGTTAATGCCTTCAGTGCATCTTGGACTTCTTCCTTCAGTACGATAGGTTCTTGATCATATGCTACCTCCTGAAATGGTTGGCAAATTCTTTTTGATACAGTGACTCTGTATTCCTTGCATCTTTTTTTTTTTATGCTTCCTGCATCATTCGATATTTTGTCAATACTGCAACTCAAGGGTTGAATTTTTTTTCTTCAGTTCTTTCAGCTTGAGAAATACCAAGCATGTTCTTTTGATTTTCTAACTCCAGGTCTTTACAAATTTCATTATAATACTTTACTTTGTCTTCTCAAGCTCTCCTTTGAAATCTTCTCTCCAGTTCTTTTACTTCATCATTTCTTCCTGTCACTTTAGCTTCTCTACATTCTAGAGCAAATTTCAGAGTCTCTTCTGACATCCATTTTGGTCTTTCCTTTTTTTCCTGTTGTTTTTTTTTTTTTTAATGATGTTTTGCTTTCTTCATGTATGATATCCTTGATGTCATCCCACAACTCATCTGATCTTGTCATTAGTGTTCAAATCTATTCTTGAATTGGTCTCTAAAGTAAGGTCGGATATACTCAAGGTTGTACTTTGGCTCTTGTAGACTTATTTTAATTTTCTTCAGCTTCAACTTGAACTTACATTTGAACAGTTGATGGTTTGTTCCACAGGCAGCCTCTTCTCCACAGTCAGCCTCTGCCCTTGTTTTGACTGATGATATTGAACTCCATCATCTCTTTCCACAGATGTGGTTGATTTGATTCCTCTGATGTGGTCCACATGTACAAAAAGAGAAAACAAACCCACTGTCATGGATTCGATTCCAACTCATAGTGACTCTACAGGACAGAGTGGAACTGCCTCATAGGATTTCCAAGGCTATAAATTTTTACAGAAGCAGACTGCTTCATCTTTCTCCTGCAGAGCAGCTGCGGGATTCAAACTGCCAATCTTCTGGTTAGCAGCTGATTG